TGTATATGGAGGGGGTGGGTTGATCCTTGCTGTAAAGATTTGTTCCCTCTTTTGAGCTACTGCATCCATAGGTGTAGGTCAAGTTCATCAGATTGTATCAGATTACTCTTTTTTTCCTCTTATAAATTGAGTTCTGATTATCCAGCCATTGAAGCCAGGTCAAGTGGGTATTATCTGCAAGTGTGGGTGTACTTGTGCATATGCCCTCATTTCTTATCAGCTGGACGCTTCACTGTCCACTCTAGTCCTCTGTGGCTATGTCACTGACTCTGGGCCCAGGAGTCCCCAGGTCTTGCCATACTGCTGACCAACCAGGTCTCCACCCGGGTTCACAGGAGTCTATTGAATGTGGTAGGGCTTAGCTTGCTGCTTCATTGCTGTTTTTCCCTCACTTCCCCTTATTGGTGACAAACATGGTCACCAGTCAGAGCGCATGTCTGCTCGTGTATTCCCATTGAGTCTCAGTCTTGGAAGGGGGCTGTCTGATGTTCCTGATGTCAGACCACAACTCTTCTGGTCTTCACACATTAGTGTCTGATGCATCAAATCTGTTCTTGAGATGGTCTCTAAATTCAGGTGGGAAACTCAAAGTCATTTTTTGGCTCTCCTGGGTGGTGGTGGTTGTGTGCCATCAAGTCAATTCCAACTCATCTGTACCCCTATAGGGTTTCTGAGGCTGTAAATCTTTATGGGAGCAGAAAGCTTCATCTTTTGTGGAGCAGCTGGTGTATTTGAACTGCTGATCTTGCTGTTAGCAGCCCAGCTTGTAATTCACAACACTCCCAGGGCTCCTTTTCACACTCATGGCCTTGTTTTAACTTTCTTCAGCTGCAGCCTGAACTTGTGTTTGAGCAAAATGGTCTGTTCCAAAGTCTGTCCCTGGCCTTGTTTTGACTGATGATATTGAACTTCTCCACCATCTTTTCCCACATATGTAATCAGTTTGATTTCTGTGTCTTCCATCAGGTGATATCCATATGTATAGTCACCTTTTATGTTGTATAATAAAGGTATTTGCTAGGGATGGGAGGGGAGAAGGGAAAATTACTCATGGGGTAGAGAGTAGACACGTTAATATGGGTGACAGGGCAGGCAATATACAACAAGAAGGAGGTTAGCATAGGAAAGATGAAGGTAGTAGGAAACACAGGGAGGAATGCAATAGTTAAAGTGAATAGAGATAAATACTGGTAATTGTTGGTACATGGACGGGATTGCAACCATGTAGCGAAGCAAAATATATAATTCGTTGAATGTAAAACTGATGATTTGCTCTGTAAACCTTCACTTAATCCATAGTAAATTGTTTAAAAAATAATAAAAGAAAAAATTGTAATTATAGATGTATAACTAAAAGGAGGAATAGTTAATCTTTCATTTCAGGAACAGACAATGCCAGGACCAGCAAAAAAGTTGAGTGTGAGTGTCACGAGTGAGAGATCGCTACCTGGAAAAGCAGTGAGAGCAGTTCCAATAAGGGGGTGGTACCATGGAAAGACAGAGCAGTCGC